ATCATCCATGATTCTAATTATTTGAAACCAAAGTTACAGTTGTTCATTCTTACAAGAGAAAATATTAATATAAGTATTCTGCATTGGGTTTTATTCAAATACTCAATTTGTTTAGACTTCATTCTTTAAAACTTTCATGCATTGAAATAAGGAATAGTCTCAACTATTTTTAGAAATCTTCCAGCTGGAAACTTACTTCCTCTTTTTTCAGGAAGCCTGCTGTTCCTGTTTCATGACTTGGCAACACTCTCTCTGCCCGACTGATTTCTTATGGTTAAATACAAAAAGAAATGGAATTAAAGCAAAGTTTGCATGAGACACAACAACAAAAACAACCTGATTTTATTGAAGTTTGAGTCATGGGGAAATGGGATGATCTCAGGTTTTCTTGATAAGTACTTCATAGAGTACTCTATAAATGTGTACTTCAAAGAGTACACACTGTGTACTCTATGAAGTACATAGTGTGTACTCTATGAAGTACATAGTGTGTACTTCATAGAGTACACACTTCATAAGTGCACAGAGGATTATAAACCTTCAAAACAGTGAGAATTGGGGCAGTACGCCTCTGTGTTGTAATTTTACTAAAATGTTAGTAAAAAGTTCAGCTACAACAAGGAATCGATTTTAAATGTGCAGTCTAGCCATTCTAGCTTTCCAAAGTCAGTGCAGGAGATACTTGGCTGTTCAAATGTTTGTAACTTGGTGAATTCAGAGTAAAATTTGACAGTATTTACACATGTATCCCAGAGCTGAGAATGTCACTGGTGTGTGTGTCTACTCTCTGATATTTATTGTAAAGTAATACTAATAAAATGTACACATTTGGTTCTATTGTTTCAGACAAATGAGCTGGTAATGAGTTTGGATGATGATGAAAAGTTAATTTTACAAGATGACCGAACCCTCAAAGCTGCTGGAGTTGGTAAGAACTTTTAATTTCTATCCCTTTTGAATTCTCAGTGGTATGTTTTACCCTCAACACCAAGTGAAATGCAGTGTTGTAGTTTTGTTCATTCATTTTAATTTATTTGAAAATTGTGGAGGAGAAATGCACTGTTAAGAACTTTATAATGCATAAATGTGGAAAACATCAACGTTAGGTTAGAAGTTTGTCACATTTTTGTAGCCAAATTTGAAGCCAACTGTTGCATATATAAGTTTAGTCTCCCTTTTTCTCTAGAGGTCAGTTTAGGCTGCTGGTCATAAAGTTAGGATATCTTGAAAACATTGATTTAAATCAGTAATTCCATTCAAAATGTGAAGCTTGTATATTGTATTCATTCATTACATACAGACTGATGTATTTCAGATGTTTATTTCTTTTAGTGTTGGTGATTTATTATTGACAACTAAAAAAACTCCAAATCCAAATGCTTAAATCCCCATTAACGTGTATGCAGCTTGATTGATCATTCAGGGGGAAAAGAAAGTAATTCCTAACAGATGGGTGGTAAGACAATAAATGACACTGAGCTCTTTAATAATTGTACAGTCGTGTAATTTTGTATGGCAATAATAATAATTACCAGAACAAGCAGGGCAGTTTAATCTAAATATTTGACTATTTTTCTCTCCAGCTAATGAAACAGAAGTGGGATTCTTCAGAAAAGAAGATTATGTTTTCTATAAAGCAAACCCCAAATCAAAATGGTGAGCAAACAGTGGAGGTTTTCAGCTTGGTTCTTCCTGGAACCACAGCCAGAATAACAACAACCAGGACTTTCCATTGTGATGTAAACATGTGGGTGTTTTTTTTTTTAGTTGAAGGTTTGACACTGACCTGTTGTGTCCCTTTATTAATATGTCTCTGATGCATGTTACCATTGAAATGTATATGTTGTGATTAATTTAACAAATATGTTAATAAACTTTGAATAACTGTTTTTCATTACTGTGTAATAGTACTAACACAATAAATGTAAAGGTAATTTTATTTCTATAGCACATTTTCAGCAACAGGGCAACACAAAGTGCTTTACAGGAATTAAAAGGAAATGCAAACAAAATAAATCAAAGGAAAGAAGAAAAAAGAATCACATGTTGATCTAAAGTATGTAAACTAGGTGCCTCAGGGTTGCTACGTGACCTCTGGTCTAATTCCTTTTCTGGGTCGGAGGAATAGGAGTCTAAAACGTCGCTGCTCAGGTGGTTTTTCTGGATTCTAAGTTTGTTCTAATCCCTGATCTTTGATGCTAAATAAGTAAGTATCCTCTGGACGTCTGAGTTGCTAGATAAGTATAAGTAAGTATTCTCTGGACTTTCTAAGTATGCTCTAAATTTGTAAAATGTACTGTTATTATTAGTTTCTAAGTAGTAACAAAAACTAAATGTTCCTTTTCTGGAAGAATAATTTTTTTTCTGGATTCTAAGTTCATTCTAATTGGAGCTGCTGACTGACTCGTCTGTTGTTAAGTGGTAAAATGGGAGGTGGTCTGGGAGTGGTAACATTTACTTTTTACTGATAAAAACAATTTAAAAACATGATGTCATTAATTTTCACAAGGCCCCAATTTTTTTTCTATTTCTATGAAGAAAAAAACTAAACTATTTTGTGGAGGGCCCCCTGTCAGTCAGGGGCCCTTGGAATTGTCCTAATTTCCCCCCCCTTTACGGCGCCCCTGCTCACATCCAACTTGCATCTCTGTCCACACCAACAGTCTGACTGTTTGCTAGTTCGGTCAAGTCCGTTACAAAACTGGTATCGGCCAAAATCAAAATCAGCAGGCCAGGCTTTTTAAAGATCGGTAACCAGGGATCGGCCAGAAAACTGCAGCCCAACACACGTATTCATGAGATTCTTTGATTAAATAAATGTCAAAGAATTTAATTTCACCAATTAAATTATTTGAATTTAATTGACTAAATTAAATTCAGGGCAGATTATGTGCCTTCAAACAATTTTAATTGGAGAAGTTTCAAATAACTTATAAGTTAAAAATACTGTTTGTTTTGGATGCATAAATTATCAGCAGCAAACAACACATCACAAACTACAGCTTAGAGTAACTCATCGGTTTATTCATGCAGCAGCCATGCAGCCTGACGTAAAAACATTTTGCTAGACAATATCAAGCATTGAGAAGTTTTAATTATTGTCAAACATTATCAAACATGTTTTGAAGGCAAAAAAAAAAGCATCATCTGTGTAATGTTCAATGCGAAATACACCCACGGTCGTCAGATGTTAAGTTAAGGGGCAGATTGTTCATGCATAATGTGGGACCTACTCCGAGAAGATGGTGTCTCTAAAGTTATGGTCCAATAGTGAATAACTCGAGCGATATGACTGGAAAGAAAAAACATGAAATAATGTCATACATTTCAGTCTAACATAACGACTACAAAGTTAACTTTTGCGCAGTTTAACCTCTCTTGTGCCTCTATGCACAGAGAACTCCCACATCCTCATCATGATTACAGTTGTGAACACCAACTTCACTGTGTGGACAGTCAAAGATGTCCGACTCTGCTCCTGTGCAGTGCAGCTCATCCAACCAGATCTTACCGGCACCTAAAAGCAGACATGCATGAATGAGACACTTCTTTAAAGAAAGATTTATTTAAGTATCTGACTAGTCATAGGATGGTATTTTGTTCCTTCTCTTCTATTTTATGTTCTACTTATGGCACAATTTATTTTGAGTTGAACTGTGTTATCGCGGAAAATATCAGGAGATTCCCAAAAGGTATTAATAAAACATTTGGGACGAAGGCCTGAAGAGGCCTTCTGACCACCAGCAGGTAAGGCAGGTGAAGTGTCTTGCACAAGGACTAACCAGCAACCCACCGGTTACAGGATAAAGCCCCACCTCCTCACCCACTGCTGCCCCCCCCATGCGGCCCCCAAAAATGGAGGATTTAGATCCTCTACTGAAAAAACGGCTCACCTGGGGAAGCAGTGAAGGTGGTAACGGCGGTCTGGAAGCCTAGCATCTTACAGATCACTCTCCCATCTAAAGGTCCGAAGCTGTCATCACAAATGGTGCCCCAGACGTCGTTGTGCATGACTTCCACTCGTCCTCTGTTTTGTCCAGGCACCAGACGCACTTTGACTGGGGAGGCACAAAGTTTAAGATTTAAAGTTGTTATTTGGATGTGAATTAACACTAATAGAAATGACTAACTGTACAAACCACACATCCTGGCCAGCGTCAGATAAAGAATCATTGTAATGCCTGAAATCTGGTAGGCCATATTTAACATATGTTGGAGGAATGGAAAGATGTATAAAAAGATAAACCTGAACCAAATGACAGAGTGCAGGGTAACAGCAAGACCACCATTTAGCAAGTTCACCAGTGTAAAACGGTTGTATGGAGAGAAAATCCTGCATCAAGCGGTGATTTATTAAAGTCCACACAGACTGCAGGACTAATCTGAGCCACACGCTCCCACACTTTTACTAATTACCACTTTCTCCTACTCTCCAAAATAGCAACTGCGATTTTCGTACCCCATTAATTTGGTTTAGTTGATATTTACATCAAACACACCCAACAGATCAAACGTCTTTTTGTTTTTCACAGCTGCTGTGTTTGAGCTGTGTTCTCTGCTTACTCTGCTTTCCCGACTCGCCCTTTGCTCCTTGCGGTCCAGGTGGACCTGTGGGTTTGAGGGAATGGAGGAGAAAGTGTTACGTCTAATTCAGCTGATTAAATAGTTGGTAAAAGTTCACAACAAAATGAATCTTAGGGTATGCACATACCCTCAGTCCCATTAAATCCAGCAGGTCCTGTGGGACCTGGTAAAACAATACAAAGCACAAACAATACATTGAAACAAAAGCTGTTGGGATTTTTTTTAAAACATCTTTTCAAACATTGTAAAAAAAAAAAAAGAGGCATAATCATTTTTGTCTGTCATTCAGTCAGGCTAAACATTTTATAATATTGAATTAAATTTAGAGCTAATTCTTGTTCCTGCTGACATGACAACAGCGGATATGATGAAAATGACTGGATCGCATCAGGTTTGGTTTATACTTGGGGGACAATTTCTGGATGCTTGACGGCGCCATGCTCGATGTTTATCTGTTAAAGGATATGCAAAGAAACCGCCTGGGAATGTCCAGCTGTCCTACCAATCAGGAAGAAGACCGCTGCAGCGTCCAGGAGGTTTGGTCTTAATGCGACTGATTCCAAAAGCAAAATAAAAAAGCAAGATTACAGTGTTCAAATGTAATCTTGGGTTAACAGCTTATGTGCTGATAAAATGCCCTTTGTTCTGGTGAAATTAAAGTGAAGATAGACGGTGGCTGCTGTTGTATTCAGAGGAAAAAAGGGGGGAAGCTTGTGAGTGTTAAAACGCCGTCACAAAGGAGTGGCAGCATCATGAGCCGGTGCTGCAGGAGGAACCGTTGCAGTTTGCAAAATACAGTAGATTGTATTATGAGGAAGTGGTCTCTGTTCCCACGGTGGGTCATCAAGCTCACTGCCTCGAGCTTGATGCCAGCGCCAAAAGGCTGGCAATCATTGGCACAAAGTTCTTTGGGTTAGAGAGGACCAGCCACCGTTTATTTCCCTCGGCTCCACAGTTTGTGGCTGCAGGCCCCACATGGTCTGTGGTGAAAGGGAATTTTCTTCCTTTCGTCTTCTCACACCAGGATGGAGTGCAAAGAAAGAAAACGTCTTTCTCTGTTGTGCAGATGGAACGTAAAGCAGACGCGACATTTTCTCTCTCTCCCATTATTGTCGCAGTTAGCAAATATATATAAACGCAGTTGTCCTAACCGACCGAAAATATGGTAAGGAATAAAATGGTTGAGTCATTTTACGCGTGACTGTATAGTCTGTATAACTGTAAGCAGACTGTATACATGCACTTGTTTTCTGTCACTTCTAAATCCTGTCAGATAAATGAACTAAAAACTATGACTTAAATGCATTTATAAACTATATGTTGTGTAATGTGAGCCACCAGATGACCTGGGGGTCCCCGAGGACCAGCGCTTCCAGGGTCTCCTTTCTGTCCTTTTAATCCAGGCGAACCAGGGAATCCAGGCTCCCCTGCAGAAATCAAGAACAAATTGCATTGTGTGAAATACACACACCTTTACAGACATTCTGTTGGAGGGCACAGACACAACACCTCACTGCATTTGTGGCAATATCAGGTGAATTTACTCATGCCTCACTCTCCTCAACACTGCCAACAATTCACCGGTTTGTCAGATTTTGGATTTGCTTTATGCTAATGTGAAGGATGCAAATGTCTCCAAACCAAGACCTCTGACTATGAGCCCCTTGTTAAAGGGCTACCTGTTAGGAAGATGGCTGTTAGGAGGTGGTTGCAGGCAGACATTAACACAGTGGTGCCCAAAGTGGGTCCTCGAGGGCCGGCACCCTGCATGTTTTAGGTGGATCCAATGATGGCTCATTAGAGGCCTAAGAAGAAAACTGACTTGCTGAAAAGGTTGATGCTACCAGCAGGGAGAGAACTAAAACATGCAGGGCGCCGGCCCTCCAGGACCCTCTTTGGACATCACTGCATTGACACAATTTTGGATACCTTTCTGTCCAGACACCCCAGAGTCTCCTTTCTCTCCACGAGGGCCTGCAGTCATAAAAATAGATAACACAAGTCAAAAACTGTAAGGAAATTGTCTAATGCTAAACCAGAGGGACAACAATTTATGAAAGAAAGAAACAAAAAAACTTTCAGCCAAGGTCAGTGTGTATTCATTACCTGGGGCTCCTGGGTCCCCCTTATTGCCTGGTGCTCCTGGATTCCCAGCTGAACCTGTGGGACCTGCAGTGGCACACACACACACACACACACACACACACACACACACACACACATGCAAAAACACACACAGCTGATTTTTTTTTTTTGTTTGACTAATATGCCATCTGTGAAAATATGTTCCATCTTCCCTTTAAATAGCAG